AGCGCGCAAACACCTTTCCTCTGGGGAGGCGGCGGGGCTGGCGACCCGGGCCGAGGAGCGCCAGGGCCGCCCGGAGACTGGAGAGGGCGGGGTGGAGGGGCAGAGGAAGGAGGCAGAGGCAGGTAACTAGGTGGGTGGGTGGGGACGGCTGCGGGGCGGGCTGCTGGAGGTGGCAGCGGCTCCCCTCTCAGGGTTTCTTTTGTTTCATGGCCTTAACCAGCCCCCGGCGCGCGCGGCGGCGGCGACGCCCCACGCCGCTCTCCGAATGAAGCCGGCGCGCTCTGATTGGCTGCTTTTAATCTCTGGGAGCCCTCCCTCTCCTCCCCGCAGCCTTCTAATTCCTTTCCCTAGCCCCACCCCCACCCTCTTCTCGGGCCCCGCCCCGCTCCTCCCCAGAGCTCTCTGATTGGGTGACCGGGACAAGCCAGTCCCCGAAGCCTTCTCCTTCCGTCCTCTCCCCACCCCCCTCCCCACCCTCCCCTCTCCCTACTGGCTCACGAGGAGAGGGACTGTGATTGTTCGCTTTACACGTCACTCTTTGTGACGTACCCAGGTGGGGGCGGGGAAAAGTAGGAGGGACGAAGGCGCTGTAACAGGCTGAAACTGGGGCCGACTAGGGGTTTTCGCGCAGGCGCGTGCAGTTGAAGCACACACCTGGATTTCTCCCTTTGTCCTCATCCGTCTCGCCCACCGGGGTCGGGTCTTTTAGGGCACTGTGTGAGCGGCCTTGGAGTGGAGCGTAGGCATGGGCACGGAGAGCGTTGTGTCCCCAGGTTGAGGACGAGATTTCCTCCTTTCGGGGTAGGGGCCTAGGGAGAGTCAGCGGAGGAGGGGCCAGTGAGGTGTCCTCCTATCCGGCCGCGGGGGTGGTTTCCTGAGCCGCGTGGCTCCTGGGCCTTCCCTGCACGATCCGAGAGCGCTCCTCCCTCCGGGCAGGGCCCTCCCACGCCCGGCTGGCTGGGCTTCCAGTGCCAGGAGGCCGCTGGGTTACAGCGGGAGCGTTGATGTGCTGAACTTTAGTTCTTTGGGGCTCTTCAAGGAAATTAAGTCATTGTTTCCTTCTCCAAGGCGCTCCTCCCACAGTATGGCCTAGGTGATCCCGCACAGTGCTCTCTTTTCTGGAGGCTTATTTTTAAACGGCTTGTTAAAAACAAAGCCTACTGCTTTCCAACATCTTAGGCTATGACATAACCCCCACCCCTACCCCCGCTTTAGTACCAGTTAGTCTCCCCAGGTTAATCTTAACCCACGTTGTCCTACAGAGATATATAATGCGAGCAACATAGTGTAATTTTAAGGTTTCTAGTGGCCCCATTAGAAAAAATAAGAAAAGACTTGATTCATTATATTTAAAACATCACTTCAACATGCAATCAATATAAAGTTATTAGTGATAGATTTTATAGTTTTTTCAGTCTTTGGAAATGGTGTGTATTTTACACTTAAACTCAGCATATCTCGATTCAGTTCGCTTCACACCAGCCATATTTCAAGTACTCTAGTACATATTTCAAGTACTCAAGTACATATTTCAAGCAGCTCTAGACCTCTTGATTTTTGAGTTATAACTTGGGACCTTTTTATATTGGATTTATTTATTAGGTCTTGCTGCCTCAAATTCATGAGTGAATTTTAATTGAGCTCCTACTCTCCTAAATCGTCTAGAATGTTACAAAGCCAGTAGTTCAAGAGGAAGCTAAACTATGTCTTCTCTTTCTCTAGTTTGTGGCTTTACAGTGAGGTGCAGAATCCTTATTTCAATTTACTTCCCCTCTTCCATCAAAGGCCTGGAGAATTTTCGCTAACACTACAACTTCCCTGTTATTCCAAGGTTTCCCTAGACCTCATATAAACCTGTGTGTTGCTTCTCTAACAACTTATTTGTAGATTTCAACCCTGACAGCAAAGTCAAGAAGGGCTTTAAAAAAAAGCTAAATGCAGAGCAAGGAGAGGCAAACTCTGGGTATTTGGATTTAGTGGGAAATTTGGAGTGGGAACCTGGACATGTTTTTAAGAAGCCACACAGGTTGTTCTGAAGCTCAGCTAGGGTTGAGAACACTGATCTAGGGTGTGCTTTTGGGTTTACAGAAGGAATTTGCTATTAACTCTACTGAAAAATTAGGTACAATTTTCACTGATTTACTACACCTACACCCTTTCTGTGATACGTCCCAAGGACATATTATTTCACAACATCTTAACAACGGTACTGAAACTTTTAATGTACCAGTGAATAGCTTGTATAACAACATTTACTTATAGAATATACAAATACTGTATGTTTGCTGTCTGATATTTCCGTTTAAACAATAACCATTATTTGAAGGGTAGATCTTCTAGCAAAGCAAATCTCATCAAGGGAGAAAATCAAAACATGCAGTGGCCCTCCCAGGATACATTGGTCATTGGGAGGAAATTCTGAGAAATTCATTTTGCCATCTCTTTTCATGATTTGTCATTTAATGCTCACATCTTGGTCCCAAGGACCAAAGGAAGAGTGGGAGTGATAGTTCACCATTTTTCTTTTGAGAGGGAGAGATGTAAAGAATAGAGACCCATTCGGCTAAGGTTTTTTAAAATGCTAAATTGTTTAACCCAGGTGTTCCTAATATAAAAATTGCTTTCTGCTTCATTCTCACATAATAAATGAGGTTTCATAAGTTCCCATACACAAATGTATATATTCATGCATTAATTTACACTTGATCAATACTGTGATTTATGAACAAGGTAGGAGATATTGAAGCCCACGGACCTTCCCATTTGGGTCTAAATTTGTCTTGTATTAAATTTTGTTTATGAAGCAAATTTAAGATTTGCTTTTGCTCTAAATATATGCTTGGGATTCCTTCATTTAAATTCATTTAACAACACCATCTTTTCTACCCCAGCCACACAACACCCTAATTTGTACCTGGGTAGGGTTTCTCTTTCATTCCTCTGCGGCTGTTTATGATGTAGGTAGATACACTGGCGCAAAAGAGTTGCTTTAGGGATCTCAGGACAAAAAGAAAACTACAGAGTTGGCTACATTTTATCAACTCACAGGCTGACTGCTGAACTAGCTTTTTAAACCTGTCTAATTGTAATGATTTTAAGGTTGGAACAACTGCAAATTAAACAAAGCTTAACAAAGATGTTGGTCTTAGCAAGTAAACAGATTATTAGGGGTGCCTGGGTGGCTCAGTCGGTTAAGTGTCTGTCTTCGGCTCAGGTCATGATCCCAGGGTCCTGGGATGGAGCCCTGCATCAGGTTCCTTGCTCAGGGGAGAGCCTGCTTCTCCCTCTGCCTGCTGCCCCCCTGCTTGTGCTCTCTCTCTCTCTCTCTCTATATATATCTGACAAATAAATAAATAAAATCTTAATTTTATTTATTACCACTATCTTCTCTTATCACCACTTTCTTCTCCAAATCCACTGCTCCGATAACATCTGCTCCCCTTCTTTAGGGCACACTGCAATGCACCCATGGGCTCTGACTGCTTCCTTGAAATTATCCTCATCTTGTCACTGAATCCCATGAGCACTGCTTATCCTTATTCAATTTAACCTTTTCCTGGCAGGATTTGACACCACTGACTGCTCCTAAAGCACTCTCTCCCAGGGTGTTGGGGGGCTCAGTCAGTTAAGCATCTACTCTTGATTTCGGCTCAGGTCATGATCTTAGGGTCCTGAGATTGAGCCTCGAGTCAGGCAAGGTGTGGAGACTGCTTAGGATTCTCTCTCTCCCTCTCCCCTTCCCCCTTGCTCTCTCTAAAATAAAAATAAATAAACCTTTAAAAAATAAATGTAAGGATGTTCATTTTTTTAAAAAAAATCCACTTTTTAGCTTAGTATTCAATATCACCACTATCTACTCAGTTCCTATGACCAAAAGCCTGGTAGACATTCTTGACTTCTTTAACCTGCAAACCCAGTAAAGACCAAGTCCTGGGGGTTATACCTCTCAACTCTCAAGTCCATCTATCATTCTGCATTTTTACCACCATTCCCATAGTCAAGGCCACCATCATTTATATCATGAACTATCCCAGTAGTCCCCAAACCGTATTCTTATATCCAGGCTTGCTCTCCTCCAATTCATTTTCCATGCTGCTGAAATGATTGTAATTCAGGTTTATGCCTTCCACTGCCCTGCTTAAAATCCTTGTTGTCCTTAGAATAACACTCCAATTTGTTAACATAATTTACAAGGTCTTCTGTATCTGAGTCCTGCCTTCTGCTTTAGCCTGATTTCATGCCATTCTTCCTCTTGCATTCTTTGCCTCTTCCACAGAGGCCTTCCAGCAGCCATTCCTGGGTATATTGTACATACTTTATTATGCTTTCAGGCCTGGAATACAGTTCTCCTCTGCCCACTCTTAGCAAACACCCACTTGTCCTTCACGGCTCAGCTTGTATATCACTTC